CCTCCCAGTTTCCATAAATGCTTAGGTATTTCGAGGCTCTCTGCAGGCGTTGGCCCAGTCGAGGTTGGGCCTCGCTTTGTGGAATCCCTCTCCAGTGCATCTTTTCTTTTGTCGTCTGCGTCCCCGCCTGTCTGTCTCTGTCCTGCGGGGCCCCGGAGCAGCGAGGAGTCGGGGTCCAGGCGCGGAGACTGACGCTTCCCACGGGACTCAGCCCCAAGCCGGGAACCCCCCAGCCAGATGTGGAGCTGGAGTCTGGCTCCCGCGTTTCGGTTCCCGCCGCCGGGTGCAGGAGCAGGGCGGGAGGGGCCCCGCAGCCAGTGGGTGGGCGGCGAAGCGAGGGGCGCAGGCGGGATCCCGGGCGAGCGCGGATTCCAGCTGCCCGCGGGCTCTTGCCCTGGGCGTTCCCCGCACCCCACCCTCTCCGACCCCCTCGCAGGCCTGCGACCCCAGGGTCCAGGGAGGGTTTCACTGAAAAGGGACATTCGAGTAAAAAGCGGACTCCGCAGACAGGAGCCTTCCGAGTTTGACTCCTGTCTGCTACTTATAAGGGCACTGGGTACACGAGGGGGGCCCCCGAATCTTGGCACTCACACCTGGGCGAGGATTTCGAGAGGCCTCTCAAGGTGCGGGCGCAGCTCCCACTACTGGGGCCCCGCCCTCGGCCTAGCTCGTTTGAAGGACATTTCCAGAGTTCTTTTGCAGCGCGCCTCCAGTCGCTTCCTTCCTAAACCCGAGGAGCCTGGGCCCGGCTGGGGCCGCAGTGACTAAGAGGGGCCCAAACGCCGGACGACCCTGCTGGGCGCCGGGCCACGACGTCGTCTCCCCTTCCCAGCTCCCCTGCCCTGGCTCGGGCCCTGGGCTGGTGCCGGGAGGAACGACCCTTGGGTGGCCTTGGACCTGAGGGCCGCCCCGGAAGAGGTGTCCCAGGGCGGGGCTGACTCCCCTGGCCCGGTCAGTCCCGGAAACGCCCCCGAGGGCTGAGGCCGAGCTCCGGTGGGGCGTCTTCAGGATCATGGAGGCTCCGCGGGTCCGGGCCTCCAGGCCAGTCCGGGGTCCCGCAGAGGTGCGGGAGCGAGAGTGGCAGGGAGGTCTCAGAGCTTTCGCGTCTGGGCAGGGAGGGTTTGGAGCCCACCCTTAACTTGAGCGGTGGGAGCAGCCACCCCTGCCCCCCAGCAGCGGGAGGGAAGACGAGAAGAGGGAGCCCCGAAGTCTCTGGAAGGAACCCGGAAAGCGCAGTTAAGTCTTGGCGTCTGAGCGAGGTGCTCAGGGGATCCACCGCCTCCCCGAGGGAGGGGACTTTCGCAATTTCCGCGCAGGGCATCAGTAGAGGCACAAAACCTCGCTGGACCCAGCAGCCTGAAAAAAAGAAGTTTGAGGGGACACAAGGCCTCCCGCTGCAGGAGCTGGGAAACCCTGGGCTTGGCCAGGTCAGGCCGCGTCTCCCCGCCCTTTTGCAGGACATAAGCCCAGCGCCTCAGCGTCCAGGAACAGGGGGAGCGTCCCTACCAACAAAGGCCGGATGGGCCCAGCCAACGCCGGCCTCATTTTCCCTTTCTAAGTGTGACTTTTTTCCACCCTTAAAGTTCGGGCATCAGCAGGGGAAGGCGCCAAGGTTTCTAGTGTGGGCTCCTCAAGGTGTGTCCGCCCGCGAGGCTGTCGCTCTCCTTTTAAACGTAAAGCAGTGTTTAATCTGGAATGAAAGGATCTCCTCGTCGTCGTGCTTCTAGATTAATTAAAAACTACTTTAAACTTTCGAATTCTGGAGTAAGTGACAAATATGCAATGAAAAAAACATCTGGCCAAGAACCATTTTTCACCTTTACAGCCACGAAATCTTGTTTCTGGCATTGATTTTAATGATTCGAGAATTTAACGGGAAATGCAACGAAAGTAAAAGTCTGCCATCGAGCTCACACCCTCGGCGGACCAGCTCGTGCACCACGGAAAGGCCCTTGCTGGAAAGGCGAGTGGTGAAAGGCGAGTGGTGACTGTTTCTTTCCAATAAATCCAGAAACTTCAGACGACCTAGCTCCTAAACGCCTTTCTCCCTGGGTTCCTGCCCTGTTCTTAAATAAATCCTCTCTCCTGATCTCCAGGTCAAAGGAGTTTTGTACTCCCAAAAAGAGCTCAGCTCGTTTAGGGGATCTCCACAACGTTAGAAGCAGTGTCTATTTTCATTTCGATTGGAGAATTTGGGGTAGAGTTCCCCAGGCTCGAGGTTCCTTTTAGCTCGTGAGAGTGGACCTCTCAACTTTTTAAATTGACGACTGCAGGTAACTCCAGGAATTTCTGTCCCAGCAGCACAGTCTCAAAAGCCACTACTTCCCTAGTGTAAAGAGTGTGACCTTACTCCTTTCCAGCCCCCAATTTAAACCTCAGCTCTAGAGAAAGGGTGAGGCCCACCACTGGGCCAGTTGTAAGGCCCCAGAGTCTTTCCCCAGAACTGGGCCTTTGGAAACAGGACTCAAAAGAAGCAAGTGCTTCAGGAGAAAGTCGTTTTCCTGATTGATGAAACTTCTCCCTCCCCTCCCCTTTCTAAATAATAAACTCCGGGAAAGGCTGGAGGGCTGCCTTGTGTTGGTTTCAAATAAATCCTCAGTAGACTCTTTCCTCACCCAGAGAAATGAATCACCCTTGGGAAACAGACGATTATTCCCCCATTTGTCTGCCCAAAACCAGTGAAAACAAGCACCCTCCACTGTAGACCCTCACTTCAGCTTTTCTCCCTGGCTGGGGACAGGGCGGTGGTGGTGGGAGGGTGACAAGGGATGGAGGGGAGTGGGTTGGATAGCAAGGGAAGCCACACAGTTGCCCTCCCAGAGAAGGGGCTGAGGAAGGGGAGGGTAAATGCTGCCTAGATGTGCTTTCGGTGCCCAGATCCTAGAAAGAAGAGCCTCCCTCTCTTCAAGGGGAGCTTGGGCCTCAACCAACTGTGAGGTAACTGTTACATCTCATTCAGAAGCAAATCCTGGAGTGGTACATTTCAATCAGGGTTCTATTTTCCTCAGAGGGAAATAGAGGCCTGTGCTGTTGGAGTTATCATCTCTAAAGCTCAATTTCTTGCCCTCTTTAAACAAACAGAACGCTCTTGCTGGATTGTTCCTGCTTATATACAAACTATTTTGAAGTGTTACAGGGGCCAGGGAGTTGCTGAAGAGAGAGAAGTAATTGATTAAATGACCCATGTTTTAGTCCACATTTACGTAGAAGGTACTCAATGTATTTAACTAACAGACCATCGATCTTCTAAGGGAAGAAAGAAGAGAGAATTCCCACTAGAAATCTGAAAGATGCTGAGATTTGGGTGGTTGTTTGCCTTGCCCCAGAGCTTTCAAAGCAGAGAGGCCCCTCCTTTCTCTGCAAGGCAGGCTGCCCAAAGGGGCAGGCTGGCAAGGTAAGTATTTGGTTATTTCCTAGGACTACTCTGTTGACTTTTTAAACATCTGAGGGCTGTCCAGAAAGTATCCAGCCATGTAATGTTCTCGTTATATTAACAATGGCTGGATGGATACTTTCTGAACAGCCCTTGTATACTGGACTTTAATTAGGAGGCAAAAAGACCATAAGGTCAATTTGAAGTGAAAAGAAGTTAACTTACTGCTTCATTCTTGTCTGTTGCCAACACAGCCAGCGCAGTCACCACTCCGCCTCTCATTTCCTGCCACTTTGAATTTCCAGATTACTTTTTTGATCTCAATTGCTGAGTTTATGAGGGTCTGATTACTGCAGAGAAATAAGGAGCTCAAATAGCATAAGACTATGAAGGTGGACAATGCCCCATTTGAAGGACATTTAGTTGCAATAATTAGCACCAATTTACCCGCCCTCTTTGCCTATACATGTTCATCATGGAAAAATCTTCCCATCTGCCCACCCATCCAAATCCCTCACTCACACCCAGACACACCTTACCCGGGCCACATGTTTCCTCTCCCACTACCCACATCTTCTAAGATTTTAGGCAAAGGCAAAGCCAGGATTTAAAGGTTCTTTTTTATTTGAAATCTCATCCAGAAACACTGGTTATCAATAAATATATCATAGTTATCAAGAATATATAAAAAATAAAGACAGGTATTGTCTTTGAGGCCCTAACAAAATATTTCAAGCAAATGTCCAGGAAAATAAAAACGGAACCCCTCCCCAAACCACGCTAAGTTTTCAAAGCTGATAATAGAGAGAGCCAACCCCGCATGCAGAATAACTGAGCAAGGGGGGTGGGGCTAGCTACTAGAGGGAGCCCAAGCTTTTGCAATCGCTGGCCCCTAGGACAGCCCCAGGAGGTTTGGAATGAAGTTTGAAGGGGTGGGGGAAGAAGCGCGTGTGCGTGAGTGTGGGTCTTTGCACTCTGCCCCTTTTTCATTTCACACAACCACAGACAGATATATGGAGTACTTCGGAGAATTCACTAATATCCTTGTTACAAGGAAAACGGCACCACGGCCTGTACAACATGTTTAGACAAGATTCATTTAGAAGCGTGCATGCATTCTTTTGACCTACACTGCGTCGAAAAGAAAACCCACGTAGGTGTCATGACCTGGATCGGAGTTGAGATTCAAAACCTGGGTCTTGATATCTCTCTCTCTGTCTCTTCTCTAGGAAAATTATGGCGAGGACAGAGACAATCATAATTGCATCCATCTCAGGGAAATATTTACATTTGTTTTGCACAAAAGGGATGGTCGTCTTTTTCCAAAGCGAGAAAACAGAGCCGGAGAAAGCCAATCCAAAAGTCCCTTTGCAAGTTTTTAACTACACCGATCCCGTCTTTATACAACAAATGTAGTTTTGACAAGAGCACATGGCAGTGAGAAATACTGGCGCTGCATGGGGAAAAGAAGCATGCATGCACAACACACGACGTCTGGTTCGATCCCCCTTCGCTACCACCTAGAAATTGCAGTTTGGTTTTGGTCCTTTCCCTCCGGGGGTCAAGTGGGGTCCGAGATCTCTCAGACAGCGTGGGAGGCCACGGGACCCCGCGCCTGCCCCTCGGGTGGACTGAGCCCTCAGCCTCCCCCTTCCCTCCCGGCCCGGCCCCGCGGCCCCTCCCGCCGTTCTCCCGCATCCTGGCAGCCGGGCGGGCCCGCTGCTCACTTGAGCAAGTCCTTGGACTCGGCGGACAGCCGGGCCATGTTGGCGGTGGAGAGAGCGGACAGGTGCGGCGGCGGCGGCATCTGGCAGATGGTGCAGGGGCAGGGCAGCCCGGCCCAGTGCTGGAAGCCGCTGCCCAGCTGCAGCGCGGGCGGCGTGGAGGGCGCCTTGAGCAGCGAGTGAGGAGGCCGAATGGTGCCGATGGCCGGCAGGGAGGCGGCGGACAGCGGAGACGAGGCATTGCTGGACGAGAGCGCGCCGCCCAGGATGGGGTGCACCGGGTGCACGGCGTTGGCCGCGTGCGCCGGGTGGGCGGCCGAGTGGCCCACGGTCCCGCAGTGGAAGGCCGAGTGGTGGCCCCCGTAGATCTCGCCAACCAGCCTCTTCATCTCCTCCAGGGAGCTGGTGAGCATGAGGATGTAGTTTCTGGCTAGCAGGAGAGTGGCGATCTTGGAGAGCTTGCGCACCGAGGGCCCGTGCGCGTAGGGCATGACCTCGCGCAGCCCGTCCATGGCGAGGTTCAGGTCGTGCATTCGCTTGCGCTCGCGTCCGTTGATCTTCAGCCGCAACTGCTGTAGGTCCTGCTCCGACAGCTGCTTCTTGATTTTGTACTTGCTGCTTTCTCCCGCGGCCTTGGCGCCAGCCCGAGAGAGGCTTTCCCCGGGCATCTTCTGCACCATATCGCCCTGCGTGGACGAGACCGAGTTCAGGCGGCTCTCCTGGTGGTGGTGGTGGCGGTGGTGGTGGTCCCTCAGGTACATCTCATCCATGTCGGGAGATGAAGCTCTGCTGGAGACAGAGCTCGAATCAGAATTCATTTTATTACAAGGGATGCGGCCCTACCGTGGGGAGGCTTTAGGCGGGAAATTAAAGAAAATCTTGAATTAAAAAAAAAATCTGCCTAGCCCAGCAACCCACTTCTCAGCAGCAAGACCTGAGAAGAAAAGCAGAGGCACTGCCTTTCCCCGCCTCTCTCCCTCCCCACTCCCCTCTCTCTGGTTAGGCTGTTTCCTGGACAGCTAGTTGGTGTGTGCTTGAACTAACCTCTCGCCGAAAAAAGAGGGGCTTTTATAGAGCTGCGGCGGAGAAAAGAGACAAAAGGAGACCTCCTATCTATACTGGGCTGGTTAGGATGACGTGCCATCATTCAGGGCGGTGCGCTTTGCTGTCCCATTTAGCAAGGATTCCTATTCATATTCATTGTGGGGCCGCCCAGGGACACCTCTGCACTGAACCGCTAGGAGCCCCCGGGCACAAAACCCTCTGATTGACACACTCACCGCTCCAGCTCACGCCTTCCTGATTTTTTTTTAAAACTTTCTTCCACCCCACCCCCCTTTCCCAATTTCCCTAACCAAATTACACTTCAGGAACCAAAGGAAGGGAAGAGAAGCGGGCCAGGCGGTGGGCGTAGGTTCCTCTGGGTTTGGAGAGAGGAATAAAAACATTCCCTCTCCTTCCTTTCATAGCTGCTCCCAAGTTTAGAGAAATGTGGGGGAAAAGTCCTAAGGAAAAGGTTTGAGGAACAGAGGTGCGGATGAAGGGCAGGTTCTACCAGCTAGGGCTGAGGGGTGGCGGTGGGAGGACTGCCTATCGAAGTTCGCTGTCTGAAGTTTTTCTTCATTAGGTCACTTTGCCTAAACACTGCCATTCTGTCGATTTTGTTTATTGCGCCCTTCTGGTGGGGTTGTAACGGGGTGTCCGTATTCGGTGATGGGTTTGCCCTTGACACTATTGTGGGGAGAGGTCTCTTACTTTCTTTGTCTCCTCTTTCGTTTTAAAACAGGGATTACTAAAAGAATTTCCGTTTTGCACAATTCTCTAACTTTCTTGGATCTAAAACTGAGAGAAAAAATCCTAATGCTGCAAGAAAAGCAGTTTGGGAAGAGGGGGTGGGAAGGAGCGGGGGCGGGGGCCGGGAGAGATTGCTGGGGATTGGAAAGGTTCCTGAGAGCTCGGGAGAGACTGTTCCCGCTCCAGGCGTCCAGGACCTTGGCGCTAGCTGAAGATGGTGGGACAGTCCCCGCCCGAAGCGGTGCCGCCTCTGGCCGCTGCGTGGGAGCGCTGGGAGCATCTGCAGCTCAGCGCCAGCCGGGCCCGCGCCGGTGGGTCCCCGCGGATAGGGCTGCCCTTCGCCGGTGGACAAGGGAAAGCGGAAGCTCAGGAAAGAATAATAAACTCTACGGTGTGTGTGTGTGTGTGTGTGTGTGTGTGTGTGTGTGTGTGTGTGTGTGTGGTTAGATAACGAAAGGCCCTGGAGAGCCCCTTTTGCGTGCGTGGACTCTGACGGTCCCGCGCAGAGTCGTTTCTGAAAATAAAAAGAAGGCCTGGAGTTTGGAGGCTTCCGTGGGCGCAGATCTTTCTTCCCCCTCGCTGTGTTTTTGTCCATCAAGACTTTAGCTAGGCAGCGCGAGACGCGGGAAGGCAGAAGTCCTCGGAAAGGGGGAGAGCCCGAGGGGTGGCCCTCTAGGGGAACCGGGACAACGCCACGCTCCGGGCTTGGAGGAACCGGAGACAGAAGCTAGCTCGTGGCTGAGTGTCTCGGTGGAAAGTGCAAAGCCGAATTGATCCCGGAACCTCGGGCAGCCACGGCCTCCGCGCCGCGGAGTTACTGCGAGCGCCTGGAGGAGGAGGCCCCCTTTCCACTGACACAAATCGAACGGTCAACGGAAGAAGGGTTGCGCCCAGGTCCGCAGTTTGCACACTCTGAGAGGCTGTGCCTCGTCGACGGATGGCGAAGCCGCGAAAGCAGCCCTGGCAATACAACCCGAAGGGGAAAACCCAAAATGCAAAGAATGTGTTCTCTACGCCAAAGTTCGCTTCTCTGGAAAAGAAAGAAAATGGCCAGCGGTCCCTTGTCAAGGCCAGGACGTTAATGCTCTTGAAGACTGGACGCAAGCCTCTTCTACCACCTCCACCTCTGTGGAAGGAAAGTTTCTCAAAACGAAACCGGGAGATTAGATTGGATACGGAAAGATTGATGTCTAAACGCACTCCTAATATCTGGGCACAAATTTTTTTTTTTTTTTAATTCACCAGACTGGCCCATTTTAGCTAAGATAGTGACATCCCCCGAGCAGCTTATGAAAAAAAGGGTTCCAGAACTTCTGCGGTCCCAGGTGATGCACGGAAGCCAGGGGGAGCGGCTAGTCCCTGCGACGGCGCTTTGCGGCTCCCCAGCTGACCCAGCGGGGAGGCGGGACTGGGAACTTCCCCGCCCTGGTGCCAGCGCACAGGCCAGGCCTCCGTCCTCCTGAGCCACCTTCCTCACCCTTGGGCATCGGCCACTGTCTTTCCCCAAACGGAAAACGTTCCTGAGTTTTGATTGCGGGAAGTCGCAAAGTATAGTTAGAGCAGAAGGTTTGCCATCAAAGAGTGGAAAATCACGCCGCTGCGAAGCATTTTACTTTTTTAAAAAAGTCCCAATTTTCTCAGTGGATAACGTACAAATGAAGTTTAAAATGTACTCAAATTAGTCGAGAAGGTCGCAGGGGAGATCAGTCATGGAAATACAAACTGAACAACTCACTGGCGGGGCTGGAAGGACAGGGGCCAGGGCTGTGGGCGTCCGAACCAGAAGCCACTCTTCCCCAGCACCGCCTTTCCGCAGAGAGGGGCGTCCGCGGGCCGCGCTGAGCAGGGAGGAAGCACCCGGGCCTTTGCGGGAACAGACCAGGACCCTCCCTTCCCCCTTCCCCAAGCGTCATCAGCTCCAGGAACACAGCTGTGCCTGAAACCGGAGATCTGCAGTGTCCAGGCGGGGACTCCTCCGCTCCGCGACGCCCTCTGCTTTCCCAAGGGCCTCAGTGTGTGAATGTGGGGTGGCCCAAGGCTCAGGGCCCGAGCCCAGTAACACTTTTAGAAGTTGGTCTCTCCATTCCCCATCCGTTGGAAGGGTTAAGGACTAGAAGAGGATAAGCGAATAAAGGTGCCACAACTTTGCTTGCCATAAAATGGGTTGACAGTCGCCACGGCCTGACAGGAGGAGGTGCCCCACGCGCCTTGCCTCCCCGAGTCGCTTTCGACTCCGAGGGTTCACCGCGACCGCAGCTCATCCCTACCTTCCGAATGAGCCCGGAACCCGAGAAGGAACAGACCTAGAGCTCAGGAGGGCGACTACACGGATTTCTTTCCGAGGACTGTGTCTGCCAGCGCCCACCCGGGACGTGTGCGGGGAGGGGAGAGCAAGGGAGTCGCCGCTGGGGCAAGGCTGCAACAGCGCAAAGGGGCCTCAGCCAGAGACGCGCCGTGACCTTGGCCCTGGCCAGGGGCCCATTCAGAGGGCTTAGCCAGGCGAGGAGCCAGAACTAGTGACCCGGCGGTGGCGCGGGGCTGCGCACTCTCGGGCCACACCCTGAGCCCTGGCGGCGGGGGAGGGCTGCAGCGCCGAGGCGGGGGTCGTTCTCTGGCAACAGGTGCGTCCCAAGGCAGGCGAGCTCCTTCCGGCCTGCCTGCCTTGGCTCTGAGAAGAGCTGGGGAGTTTCTCAGCCTTCCTACACCACAGGAAAGCAGTGGGTTTGGCGCGTGGAAAGGATCGGAAGAACTTCCCTGCGGTCCCCGCGCGTCCGGGGCGCACAATCCCAGCTCTGCAACCTCAGCCTGGGCGGCTCTGGATCCGCGGGGACTGTGCACTCGGGAGGCTGTTGGGCTCTTCCCGACACCTCCTCCGCCCCCCAGATCGCTAGGGACCGCCTCTTACCTGATGCCCAGTGCGTGTCACTCGGTGACCGACGTCTACCGCTCCGCGGCTTTAGCCACCGAGCTCCTCTCCAGCAGCTGCCGGCTTTGCCCGAGGCCGCGGCGATTTTGGCTCAGCAGCGAACCCCCACCCCCACCCCCCTCAAGAGTCCATCAGCAAATGTCGCCGCGGCTGACCTGCCGGGAGGCAACTGTGAGAAGCCGGGCAGTCAGCAACGTCCAGGGGCTCCTCTCGCTCATCAAGCTGCAAACTTGACCGGCAGAAACTTTGGCAGAGACCAAAAGGCGGCCTCTGGGCCTTTCAACCCAGCCACCCTCCAAAACAGAAAAGAAGAAAAATACTTCTAAATGTGTTCTGTCATGCGCAACCAAGGAATAGCCTAAAAGCTAGTTGACTACACGGAAGAACTTCTCAAAAAGTACTTTCTTATAGCTGAGTAAAACAGTAACGTCACAACAATAGTACTGGGGGGCCGATCGATCTTCAGGGCTGTTAGGTTGATCAAAGAAGCCGGTACCAAAAAAAAAAAAAAAAAGACAATTAAAAAAATTAAATATCAATATAAATTGCAGTCAAGTAGGAAGCAGGAATTATCTCTTCTTGCAGCAGCGCATCCCGGGTGACAGAGTGTGGCAAGGTATCCAACTCTGAGTCCCTGCATTCGGAGATGCCAAAATCAAAATCCCAACAATTAAGTAGGTGCTACAAGGGCATGAGAGGATGGATCTGTACAGATTAAAGTCATTCAGTTTGCTGGGTTTCTCCATACTTTAAATAACATCTTGAAAACTTTACTGATTTGCCCAGTATTTCCCCTCATTTTTTAAAATCTGGTTTTCATACAAGGAAAATAGCGGAAGTTGAAGAACAGCAGAATTTTATGAGGCGGTAGTAACTCTGCTTCTCGCAATGTTTCATGAGAGATTGAAAGATGCTAGAAAGTCCCAGAATAACATAAAATGATGAAGTGCTAATTATGTGGGTACATAGACAAGTTAATACACTGGCAGAACTAGAAGTTTGATTTTAATGATGCATAAGCAGAAAGGCTGGCTACAACTTACAGATTCATTATAATTATTTAAAGACTCACTAAAGTCAAAGGAGATATGAACTTCTGGGCTTCATTTATAGGATTTTGCTTAATTAGTTAGCATCCTTCAATATTTTTTTCTCTCCTTTTAGTAACATCTTCTCAATTGCCACAACCTCAACTGAGTTTTCCCCCTCTAGAAAGCCTATAAGTTGAAGACATTTTTTTCCTCAAGATTGGAATGTTTAGGTTGATTTAAATATCACTGATGATCAATCATGGAAACTGATGCATTATGTTAAAATTTGCATACTTTTACACACATTCTTGGCATGTGCCCTGACATTCTGAATTCGTGGCTCCGTTAATACCAATACTTTAAGAACCACTAAACAGATGATTTCTTAATAGTATTTTATTGTTATTAATTTACTTCTTTTATGAATTGATAGTTAAAGCCACTTATACAATTTGATATCTTAATATAAAAGTAGCACAGAATACTAAATGCTGCATTTTGTATTTGGAGCTTATTGGATCATCTCCTTACTAGATTCTATTAGATAGTTAAATTAAACACATATTGCTGTATTCTTTGCTGAAGCACTTAAGGAATTTAGTGTTAGAGATAATTTTCTCGTGTAGTATACGTATATTTTCATTTTCAGTTCAGTAATATTCAGATTTATACACAAAGTACATAAATAAATAGAGACCACAAAGAGATTAGAATATAAGAACCTATGTAAAAAGGAACCTCAGATTAAAGGGATGTTTACACTTATTGACAACAATTTATTACACGGCCCTTTTATTGTAGGTGTCTATACATGTAAGTTCAGAAACTTACATGTATATTTACATAAAATCAAATACATTAAAATATTTATTTGAAGCATTTGAGATCTAAATACAAACGAATAAATTATTTTTCAGATGCTGTCTAGTAAAGATTTTACTAACACACCTGTTTGTTAGTAGAGTTGGATTAGAAATGTTCTCACATTGGCTTGACTCCTAACAAATAATAGATTTACAGACATTATTTTGAGAAAATTATAAATAAGGATTCTGCTATTGAATCTTGAAAAGTGAAAATGGAAGTTTTGTAAAATCAACTTTTCAATGGCTAATTTTATACCCAATCTGTAGTATGGACCAGGTAGACTTTGCTTTGTCATATCTAAAAACAAATAAAAATGTAATAAATGGTACTTTCTCATCAGTCCATTGCATTTTTCTATATAGATATATTTTTGTTTGCATAACACCAACACTCTGAAGGTAAAGTATATAACACCAAATTATCACCGTTTATAATACTGGCTGAATTTTCATTTTCATCTTTATATCATATTATAATATAAAATAACATTGAAAAAATTACCAAGATAATGTAGACTTTGAGTCCTGTTTTTCTTTTATTTTGCAGGACGGAGTGATGGGAAGGTGTGGCAAGAGGAAGCAGGCTGGAAACAAATTATCACTCAATATTTCTAGATATTTATCATTCCGTATTTTATTTGTGGACCAGGCTGTCTCCTGTTTAACAATTGAAATTATATTCTCAACAGTAATATCAAGAGCTCATACTAAAACCTCTTATAAGTTTGGAATATGTTAATTTTTATAACAAAATAATAATGGAAATTAATATCTTTCATAACATGACATGATTTAATGTATCCATGAAAGAAAGTTGATAATTATCCAAATCCTTATTTTTTTCTAGTAATTTTTATTATCTACCTTATAACCCTTGATAATAAGAAATAGCAGAATATTAGAATATTTATGTCCACGGTTGTGAATATTTCAATTACATACTTTAAAACAACTTTGGGCTTTTCTCTTTTTATTATGGCAAGTGTAGTACATTTAAGCAGACTTAGAAAAATAAAACTTTGTAATGAGGAAGAAAAGAAAGAGAAGAGTATAGAAAACACTAAATACATATCCTTAAGCCATAATATATAAATTTAATCCTAACCTTATGTGTATTTTGTGGAGTTGTGTGAGAGCACTCCCAAAATATATGTTTGCTTTATAAATTCATGGAAATTGTAACATTGATTCTAATAATTTAATAGAGAACCCATCTGTGGCTGTTTTCCAAGGGCAAACGTATAGCAAGTTTCTCCATCTTGTTTAAATACCCTGTGGACTTCGCAGCACTCTCCTTCCCCATTCATACACCTTGCAATATGTTGCGCTAGTCAAATTGCCTGAGATAAAGCTGTGAGAAGAATGAAAACACTGAATAATCCTTTAGGGATTGTACTTTTGAGTATTAGGATGGCTCAGAAACTGCTGCAGGGGCAAAGTGGAAAACTGAGAATACTAGCAGACTGAAACCCTGCTAAGAAGTAGAATTTTTTAAAGTTAATACTATAGATAGCCCAATGTTGCTGGACAGTGTTCTCAAATAAGTTCTTAATTTTCTCCATTTCTGAAAAGGAAAAAGAAAGTTTCAGCTTTATATTGAGGGACAACTCAAGTGGCCCAATAAATGTTCATCATGCTACAATGCTTTTACTTAAATAAGAATACAATACTAGACATTTATATTCACAAAAAGAAAGACAATTCTCATTTCATTGACATAGATTTCTAAGCCTATTTTAAAATTCAGTCCACAGTTAAAATTCTTTTTCTGTGGGAAAAAGCTTTTATATGTTGATTTATTCGTATAAAGGAAATCAGTGACCATTATCTGTATAATTTTCAAGTATACTTGCTATAATTGTTCTATCTCTTCAACTTCATCTCTACCTCTTGTGAAAGTGAAGCAGGGGATAACAGCTCTTTTGCTCCCATTAGATCTATTAATTGAAATAATTACATTAAATGGAAAATAATGCCTTTGGGGAAAGTAATGCCAAGAGCAGGCATCCAACAGAAAAGTGTTGCTAAAGAAGTGAGGCAGGAAAGGTGTTGGCCAAGAGTCTACAATCAATTTAACTTAAGGGTTTTAAGTAGTTGTAGAAACTAAAAACTAGTGGGCATATGCAGCGTGGAGTTGTAAACCTTTTATAAGACAGGTCTAGAATAACAAGGACATAGTTCCTCTCCATATTTGTGGTGCCTCTGATGTCCCTATTTGAGAAAGACATCCATAACAATGGGAACAAATTTAACATTAGCACAAAAATATTACATACGTTTGTTTAATAAGTTGTCTTCTGGTCAAAGCTTGCAAATACCATGGGATCACAGGAAAGATGAGCTCTTAGAGAGATATAAACTATGTTTTTTTGTAACTCCTATACTGTAAACATAGAGACGCCATCTCCCACGCCCCACCCCCACCCCCACTGGCAGGAGTGCTCTCCTTATGGTATGAAGGGCAGAGGCAGATACTACACAAATAAAGACTTCCCAGCCCATTAGAATTCCTGGATAGGATTTGCTGCTTACCAGCGATGGCAACTCACACAAGTTTCTTACCATTTCTGAATCTTTGTTTTGTCATGTGCATAATGAAAGTAATAATACTCATGACATATACCATTGCAAGGATTAAATAATAGTGTTTCAAAAACTTTTTAAAATCATGCACAGATTCATCCAGATGGATGATACTTAAATTTCAAGAGCAAACTTTAGAACATTTAATAAAAATAAATCGTTTATGATCTTGAAATACAGATGGATTTCTTAAAATAGACAAAGCCAGAACTATCTATAAAGGAAAAAGATTGATAGATGTGACTACATTAAAATGCTGAACTTTTCATCAAAACTCACTGAAAGAATGTGAAATGATTACTTTTAAACTGGGAAAAGATCTTTGCAACATAAAGGACCGATAAAGTATTAGTGACATACATATATAAAGAACTCTGACAAATCAATATGAAAAGGATAACAGGAAGATGGGCAAAAGACAAAAGCAGAAATATCACAGGGGAGGAAATACATATTGTCAATAAACATATGAAAAGATTTTTAACCTCATGAAATAAGAAAACACAATAAAAGACCATAAGAAGATAGTATTCTATATTCATTTGCATGGAAATATTAAGAAGTCTGATAAAAACCAGTACTGAAGGTACTGTAACTCAACAACATATCTCATATGTATTTCTGGTGAGAATATAAACTTGTATAGCCACTTTGGAAAACAGTTTGATATTACCTTGTAAAATTGATCATTCATGTACCCTATGACCCTGAAATTCTACTCTTTGGCAAAGACTTAGGGCATTGTTATCCTCTGCACGGTTCCAGAAAGTAGAGAGAAGGAAGAAAATATGAAGGAACATGACTAACGTATTAACTCCCAGACCTGGATCTGGCTCTTACGATTTCCACTCACACCCATGGCCAATAACTTAGTCACATAGTTGCCAAGCAGTAACTTGGAAAGATTCTAGCCCCCAACTCACAGTGTAGAGCAGAAATCCCCTAAAGATCTGGACTATTACTATTAGAACTATTACAAGAAGAAGAATGAAGCTTCTTCGTTCTATAAGTCATTTTATTTTTGGCTCTCTTTGTTAGAACAAGCTTGCTTTATTCTACCTTCTACAGACATACAGCAAACGTTCTGCAAGTGGATAACTAAATGTAATAATGAGACGTGCTAGAGGGACTAATTTAAGTCAGAGAGCTAGAATTAACCTAGACCTGAAGAAGCAGCACAAATATGGACTTCTTCCACCTTTTCCGAGTGAAAGTAAACTGTTCTCTGCTTAGTTTAACTAAAAAAAAAAAAATTCACAAGATCAATAACTACTATCAGTGCCAGCGGAGAGCCCACATTGGTATGCTAGTATGAGACAGAACATGTGCGAATGGCTAGACTTTCAAGGAGATTGGTGAGGTCATTCTTGTCCCCAGTGTGAAGTAGTCTGCAGATGACTGGGTTTGAGGCTTGGCAA